GGTGTCAAACTCACAACGTCACGTGACATGTTGCGACATATTGTGACTTTTTTTTCCATTGCCGGCAATGAGGTGGGCGCAGTTTTGCTATGATGCATCCGGCCTGCAGGCCATCAGTTTAACACCCCTGTCCTATACCATTTTGGACAAATGGCTGTCCAGTCTCTTCTTAAAAACTTCCAGTGTTGGAGCATTCACCACTTCTGGAGGCAGGTTGTTCCACTGGTTAATTGTCCTCACTGTCAGGAAGTTTCTCCTTAGTTCTAGGTTGCTTCTCTCCTGGATTAGTTTCCATCCGTTGCTTCTTGTCCTGCCTTCAGGCGCTTTGGAGAAGAGCTTGTTATGTGTTTATATTCTTACGTTCATATTCTAAACAAAGTAGGTCTTAGCAAACATTAAATAAACATTGGGCTGAGGCTCAAACATGCAGGAGTTATTCTTTAGCATTTAGTGTCAGAGCTTGGAAAGAACCACTTACAACGGCCAAGCTTAGACAACGATCAACTTAATAAAGGCCTTAGCCTTACATCACAGGAATTGGGATAGATTGCATAAGGCTGTAGTAACGCAAATAGTTCTCATTTTTTTCCCCAATCTTTTTTTTAAATCCAGGGCCAGAGCACATACTCCAGGCAGATCAAACAAGTAGAAGATGACATTCAACAGTTGCTTAAGAAAATTAATGAACTCACAGGTACTTCTCTCCCCCCTCCCCTTTTAGTGCTCTAGAAGCAGTAAATCTGTCTGGTGGTGGCCTTGACAGGTGCTGGCCTTGACTGTCTAGTGGGCTGAATTTCCTCCGGGTTATTTGTGGCAACTCCCCAGAAAACTTCAAAAGAGGAAGGAAGGTTAAGCAAAAGAAAATAAATTAAAGTACTTCTTCGACAGAAAAAAAGGAGAAGTAGAGAAAGTGGAATCACATAAGAGAAGATGCTTTTAAGCGTAATCTTGAGAATGTTGGCACTGAAAATAGACAACAAGAATCTCCAGGGAAAACTGGTGTAAACCTTCTAAGTTTAAGAGTAAGATTTAGGACCTGGGATGCCTCTGTTTGAATCTACTAAAGAATTATTTTTCTGGGTACAATTGGTAAAAAGGGCTCCAATGTTTTTTATTCACCTTGTAAGATTTTCAAACTGCTTTGACTGTGAACATCTGCAGGCACCTCCTGCAGGGCAGCCTGAGGAATTCTGGGAGTTGAAGTCCAGAAGTCCCTAAGTTGCCAAGCTTGGCGACCTTTGCTTTTGACCCTATTCTAGCCCTGACTTTAAAAGAAGATTTATTTTTGTCACATTTGAGTTGCCTTGGCAGTTCTAAATTTGCTGTCATAAGCTAATGCTTGAATATACATACATACATACATACATACATACATACATACATACATACATACATACATACATATAGTGCTTATCTGTATTTTCAAAATGACTCCTTTAATCTCCCTTTTTCCTCTTGTAGGCATTAAAGAATCGGACACTGGCCTGGCACCCCCCGCCCTTTGGGATTTAGCAGCTGATAAACAAACTCTTCAGAGTGAACAGCCACTGCAGGTGGCCAGGTATATCATAATATAATAATAAATAACAACTTTATTGTTCAGCCGGTGAGGCAGCCAAGTTCTATTAAAATAAATAGTCTTTTGTCTTTTGAGCGTGACACATACTTTTTTGTTAAAGAATGAAGTTATCTTAGGGACCTTTCAGTATAATTCACTGATTGCGTGCCATCAAATCAATAGCAGTCACATAGATGGAGTTTTTCCAGGTTGAGCAATCCCCAGATCTTTTAAAGCAGGGGTGGGCAACCTTGGCTCTTTTATGACTCGTGGACTTCAACTCCCAGAATTCCTCAGCCAGCCACGCTGAGGGGAAAGGGAGAGGTTTCCAAGCTGAGCCATGCTGGCTCAGGAATTCTGGGAGTTGAAGTCCACGTGTCATAAAAGAGCCCAGGTTGCCTACCCCTGTTCTAAAGGCTTCCAATATAAGCCCGTCTTTCGAAAAGATGGTGAAGATGTTGGCCTTTGCAGGGAGCTGGTCCTCAGAAGATTGCTTATGTACCTCTTAATTTCATAAATATTTTGCCTCAGTATTTGTTGCCACTAGCAGAAGCCGACCCATTTAATCAGTTTGAAATGGTGCTTGTCTTAGAGGTTTTTTTTTTTTAAATCCAAGGGGTGAATGGGAATAACACAGAAAGCTCTTCTCAGTGTATATTTCTTTCCTTGATTGCTGTTATTATTCCTAAGACTGTATTAACTAGTGATGAGGTGTTTTAATTTTGCTGGTTTCATCTCCTCTTTGGCTTAGGTGTACAAAGATAATCAATGCGGATTCCGAGGACCCCAAGTATATCATCAACGTGAAGCAATTTGCCAAATTTGTGGTGGACCTCAGTGACCAAGTGGCACCTACTGACATTGAAGAAGGAATGAGAGTTGGGTGAGTAGACTTGATCATCTTGGGATTCTTCAACCGTCAACATATCTTAAATATAATTTTGTGGGACGTATTTCATATTGCAATCCCCCCCCAAATTACCTCTATGTACGATAATACAATTCTCAGTACAGTTAAGTATTGGAAAAACCTTAACATTAAAAAAACACGCATTTTTGATTTGTCCCACTAGGACACACGTGCAAACCAAGCCTTCAGAGTAGACTACAGGATAGGTAATACTCAACTTACATCCATTCATTTAGCCAATGCTACATTTAAGATAATGGTCAACGTAGCAGAAAGCATCTAGGGAAAGCCAGGTCAAGGAAAGGAAAGAAATGAAAAAAAAATAAATAAAAAGAAGGACTAGGAGTGACATGATAGTAGTCTTCCAATATCTCAGGGGCTGCCCCAAAGAAGAGGGAGTCAAGCTATTCTCCAAAGCGCTTGAAAGCAGGACAAGAAGCAATGGGTGGAAACTAACCAAGGAGAGAAGCAACCTAGAACTAAGGAGAAATTTCCTGACAAAACAATCTGTGGAACAACCTGCCTCCAGAAGTGGTGAATGCTCCAACACTGGAAGTTTTTAAAAAGAGACTGGACAGCCATTTGTCTGAAATGGCATAGGGTTTCCTGCCTGAGCAGGGGGTTGGACTAGATGACCTCCAAGGTCCCTTCCAACTTTATTATTATTATTATTATTATTATTATTATTATTATTATTATTATTATTATTATTATTATTATTATTATTATTATTATTATTATCTTCGAGGTCCCTTCACACTCTTGTTATTTGGTAATTCTGTAAAGAAGAGAAGAGTTTAATAAAAACAGTTCCATTTAGAATACAGCTGGTAACGCCCAAGATTCAAAAGTCTGATTTATATTATTATTATTATTATTATTATTATTATTATTATTATTATTATTATTATTATTATTATTATTATTGGGGGACATTCCAAGCTAACCGTGGCCTTTTGAACTAGTTGCCGTCTTCATCCGCCTTTGATGTGGTCGTTAGGGTGTAAAATGCAACCCAGCTCTAATTATTGCAATATCTAGCTAGAACTGGCAGTCAGTTCTGCTTTCTTCTGAAATACTAGCCTACTTAAGATATCTCAACTGCAAGAAGGCATAGCAAAAATGGGAAAATTTGAGGTTAATCCTAATGCTGATATTATAGACGTTTGCCTTGCAGCTCTGTTGTGTTACTATGTCAATATTTGGCAGGCACAGTCCCTTCCTTAAAGTGTGGAGGAATGTTTTTGAAGGGTTTTGAAAAGACAATACTCAAAATATGGCTTTCTGTTCTCTCTGCAGTGTGGACAGAAACAAATATCAGATCCATATCCCCTTGCCTCCAAAGATTGACCCAACAGTCACTATGATGCAGGTGAAGACTCTCTCTTATTTTTCTTCTTCTTCTTCTTCTTCTTCTTCTTCTTCTTCTTCTTCTTCTTCTTCTTCTTCTTCTTCTTCTTCTTCTTCTTCTTCTTCTTCTTCTTCTTCTTCTTCTTCTTCTTCTTCTTCTTCTTCTTCTTCTTCTTCTTCTTCTCCTTCTCCTTCTCCTTCTCCTTCTCCTTCTCCTTCTCCTTCTCCTTCTCCTTCT